TTCGGGTGTTCTCGGCAAAAGTCTACATCACGGGTTTACGACGCGACGGCCGAGTGGCCCAAGCCAGGTCAAAAATCCCAAATCCTAAGCAACCTAAAATTTACGTCCTAAACGCGGAGAGCTGCATGATTTCTCTCACGCGTTCATGATGAAGACCCCGTCCGAAACCACGTCCGAAACCCCGTTCGTATCCCGATGCGACGGTTTTACTTTTTATTTTTAATTATTGCATAATTTCATTTTGTAATATGTCAGTAAAATAAAAACTTCGAAGATATTGATTCAAGGAGCATTTTAAAAAAATGGGAGATGTATTTATTCCTCTTCAATATTTAAATTTTATATGACACAAATACATATTCTCTTATGTATACACAAATTAGTCTCACGAGCCACGGAGTACGGAGTCTCCCCCCTTAACTCACTGTCGACGGCGGCCGGAGTCTTGTCGACCGAAAACATTATTTGCGTGTATACACGCAATTGGATGAAATTGTTAATTACGCGTTATAGCGGTTGCCCGAGAAATCGATACAATCCGGCGTGTTCGTGGTTTTACGAGGCCGGCCGTGTTTACGTTCGTTTGTCGAACGATCTGTCTGTACGCTCATTGGAATTCGATATCGGCATAAAATGATATACTTCGCTTTTAAATAGAAAGGACATTACAATCTCACTTGATTATCTTGTTTTTATTTTTTTAATATTTACGTTGTTTGTTACGTCAATATCGCGTGTCCATTTACGATAACACGTTAGAAGCAATCCGGTTATGCGCTTTTATTTCATCTATTATATAATTGTAAATAGGTAACGTTAACCTACTAACTCCCAAGCAGTGAAATAAGGCGACTTTTACATGTATAAGAATTTATTACTTATAGAAGTGTATAAGAAAGAATATACGAGGCGTGTCTTTAAAGGGAGGTCCGTTCGATGATAAGAAAAAAAACCGTAGAAGGTATAAATGATTTATTTCTGCCAAAAAGTATCTACATATTTGTGTTATTTTTCGACATAATCGCCATGGACTTCGCTACACGTTTGATATCGTGTCACTAGTTTTTTTATTCCACTGTCAAAGAAGTCCGCCGCCAGAGCCTTACACCATGCATTAACGTCGTTCGTCAGTTCGTTGTCATTTTCAAATCGCTGCGATGCCAGCCATTCTTTTTAAATGCAAAAATAAGTGGTTGTCACTTGGTGCAAGATCGGGGCTACAGGATGAATGGTTAAAATATTTTCCAACGAAATTGTGGCAACATTTGAACGGTTCGAACTACAGTGTGAGGTCGAGCGTTGCCGTGCGAAAGCATAATCCCACTAGACAATAAACCACGTCTTTAGTTTTGAATAGTCCCTTTTAAGTTTTATCCACTAATAAGGAGTGTATTTTAGGTGTCCGCCTCCGATTGCTTTGGTTTTCGGATATGTTTTAGAGGACCGAAAAATAAGAGATACGTATTTTTTTATAGCGGCCCGTTTTCATATTTAGGGGGTGAAACCACCCCTTAAAGTTTCGACCCGGAAGTACTATCTCGAAACCCAGAGGAGATACATGAAAACTTTCAATTGGTGGCTTTCATGGTTTTTTATGTACAATAAACAGGTGTTAACAAATTGTCAAAAATACAATTTGTTGATAACAAAAAAATTTGTTATAACTTTATTTTACAACTTATTGAAATTTGCGTAATGACATAAAATGACGAGCACTTAATTCCAAATCCATTGGTATATTTATTTTTGAAATTGCCTCCTTAGTCTCGCAGTTTTTTATTATTTATATCCTGTGCGCACGCCCGCTCTTTAAGCTTCCGATTGCCTCGGTTTTCGGAGAATATATTAATAAAAATTAAATAATGGTCAATTTATAAAAGTCAATTTCGATTTCTCAAAAAATTTGATATAATTTTTATGAATCTTTTTGTTTGCAAAAGCAACTTTTATTTGCAAACGTGATGTCTTGTGTCATTCATATTTGTTGTTTTTCAACGAACGTATGCAGCGGCACAAGAATAACTCTGGCGACGTTATTTTTCTGAGAAACATGTTTCGCAGACTTTCAAAAATAAATATACCAATGGATTTGTAAGTTGTAAAATAAAGATATAACAAATTTTTTTGTTATAAACAAATTGTATTTTTGACAATTTGTTAACACCAGTTTATTGTACATAAAAAACCATGAAAGCCACCAATTGAAAGTTTTCATGTATCTCCTCTGGTTTTCGAGATAGTACTTCCGGGTCGAAACTTTGAGGGGTGGTTTCACCCCCTAAATATGAAAACGGGCCGCTATAAAAAAATACGTATCTCTTATTTTTCGGTCCTCTAAAACATATCCGAAAACCAAAGCAATCGGAGGCGGACACCTAAAATACACTCCTTGTAAGTTATATGCACTATTATTTTCTGCTAGCGAAATTCGGATAACTGCACGAACTTCGCACTAGGCAGAATTATTTACTGTAAAACTAAATTAGTCAAGGAAAGATACTATGTAATTGTGATCCCGCCTTCTTACTTTAATTAGAGGCAGAACAAATTTTTGGCTGTGAACTTTTTTTATAGAGTACTATAGAGTAACGGCACGGCATGTGAGAATGTGCCTACATATGAGATCCTACAATAGTATTTCCAAAAAGAAGTGTTGCAACACTGCAACAATGTTTAGAACTATTAAAACAAGTGACAATGTCGTTCACGCGATAATGATTGCTTCAGTAAGGTGCCAATAAGTTTGTTCTTTCTCGTCGTGAGTTTTTATGGTCATTCTTAGTGTCATCAACTAATTCTATTATTGTTTAAATGAAACATTAATAAACTGTCTTCAGATTAATTTAACTTCTTTTTTCGAACCTAGGATGTTCCTCAGATAAGACTTTATCCTTATAGAGATTCGGAAGAAGAGCAAACTGTCACGGAAAATAGTTCCGAATCGGAATTAGATGACGACACAGAATGTTTACTTTATTCAGTATTCTAAGGACCACACTAATGAACAGTGGGTTCAATACACTAATAATAAGTGCTACAGATGGGCCCATGAATATTGTGGGACTACTGATACTGTCTTTATATGTCCAAATTATCTTGAAAAGGCAAACTAATAAATGACTTTAATTTTAAATGATAATTTTGGCTTTTGATTTTAATTTTAAGAAAGGTATCAATTAGGAGTAGTTGTTTAAAACTACTAATTTTGTACAACTTTATATTTTCACTATTTTCATAATAAATAGCAGTAGACTATAAAATTAATATTATTCTTAAGTATGTAGAAATGAATGACGAATATAGTAGCATAAACACTCTTAATTTTTTCCCTTTCTATTGCCCGATATTTAATCAAACATAAATTGGGTCACATAGTACAGAGTGTAATACAGAACACTGCGCCTAACTAATAAAGGATATACATGTTCTGAAAGCAGTTACACTTGAACACATTTAAGAACAAATCATTGTAATTTGATTGAATTTCTTTGAATTGAGCTTTTTCTGAAAATGAGCGACGAGAAGATGTACTTTCGAGGATTTATACAGTTTTATTTCTGTTTGTTTACAGTACCATCACCATACAAATAGGAAATTCTTTTTGGTGTTTATGCTTTGTTTTTCCCATTCCAGGAGAGATGGGAAAATTCAATATCTAGATAAAGAGTTTCGAATAACAAATAAAACATACAAAAGTACTTTGTCATTTTTAATCGTTTAAACGTGGAAATACCAATTTTTCTAATAAAATAATACTTCTTTTTGAATGAGTCGACATTTGACAAACGATTATTTAATTTCATTAAGTGTTTAAAGCTCAGGATGGCACCGCTAAATACTGCAGCTTTTCACTATGTATTATTCAAATAAATTTGTGTCCAACTCTGCTCGAAAGTGCACGTTCTCGCCACTGATTTTCAAAACAAGGTCTATTGAAGAAAATTTAATCTAATTGTAATGATTTTCTCAAACTTATATATTGTATTATTTATGAACACTGCTTTGTATTGAAATAAAAAAAATAGCATCTACAGTAATGTCTCGATGAGTGCGACGTACTCGGGTCCACTTCGGACCCGATTCATAGTAAGGCGGAAGAGTTTTCAGCCCCTCATAAATTTGTTTCTTGTCCGAAGCCGATCCTCTGTTTAGCTTCTGTTTACTCCGTTTTAATTGGTTTTACATGAGGACTCCCCCAGTGGTGAGCATAATGCTGTTGCTCGTGTCACATTCACCGAGGAATCACTGTATTGTAGAAATCCTACATTTTTGACCAATGTAACATTAGCCCGTAGTAGGCACACTGGTGTAAATTTGCACCAACAATAATTTAAAATGTAAGCATTGTCAAAATCTTACTTTCTTTAAGCAACACTTATGAAAAACATAAAACCTTCCAGAAAATGTGGGTATCATCAATTGATTCTTGAAGAAACTTTCTATCAAAAAACATACACTTTATTTAAACATTACTATTTAATTCTAAAAGTTATAAGACATTAAAGTTTGAAAATACCAATTTACTCAAGTGTGCCTGCAGTGGGTGTTGGAATGAAGGGTACCTACCACGGGTTAATATAATCAATTGTTTCATTCATTCATTCTACAGTGGACTCTAACTATATTGCCATGGTCGAGACTGTAGGGGAGTAAAATGGCAATGCGTTCAGAGCCCCCACCATGTTAAGTTCCGTCGTCGTAGCCTCGGTCTCAGTGTCTGCGCAAAAGCTGGGTCGTGCTGGTGCGCCGACGTACGCAACGTTGTAGGGGAACGAATGTGTGTGCGCGAAAGTACGTATGAAGAGGAAGTGCTTCGCGTGGCAATATGTTTAGTGGCAATATAGTTAGAGTCCTCTGTATTCTCTACTCCAAAACTTCATTGAATTAAAATGCTATGCCAAACCCTTGAATACCGCTGTGAACTTTTGATCTAATCCCCACAGATATCGAGATCAATGCTCCTCGATACGCGTAAGACCATTCAGTTTTATTTTTTTCAGGATTAATTCTATCTGGCAACGAGATCTCTCAAATTTTATCTCTGATATTGACCTACTACGGCGGCTCGGGGCACCGTCCAAGATGGATTGCGATTGGCGTCGGTCTGAGCGCGTTCTCGTGCCTGGTTCTCGCGCTTCCGCACTTTTTGTACGGGCCTGGAAGGGACGCGATGGCCTTGACGAAAGAACATCTCGACCAGACTCTATTGAACGCCACTACGATCCCTGAGGACCTGGCGATCTGTCCACGGGTCGTCAGACCGGAGCGTTGCGACGAGGAGACGCTGATGGACGTTAGTATCCTCCCGCGGCTTTTGGTCTTTCTATCCCAATTCATCCTCGGGATCGGCACCACTCTCTATTACGGTCTCGGTCAAACGTACCTGGACGATAATACCAAGAAGAAAAATACTCCGATGCTTCTAGGTAAACGATCTCGACACATTTCTTTTACAACCTTGCACCATTCACGACTCCGTAGGCGAAAAGTTCGTGCAGTGAAGTTATTAGCAGACTGTGGATTTTTATGCAAAATGATATTTTCTAAAGTAATTCATAAAGATAAGAATAAATATAGGGATACCTTTCTTCCTTTAACTCTCGCATAACGATGGCTGGGTGACCTCGTTCAGTGTGCCTTGATGTTTTCAGGAATGTTGATGTGTCTGACGAATGAACAAAAATCAATTTTTACAAAAATACAAATTTTATATTATATTTTACAAATTCGTGTAAATAAATGTATTGCTTTTATATATTTTTGTATAGTGTCTAGCATTGTAACGTGTGTACTCAGGTCTGTTATACGAGGGTTAAATGTCTTATTGGGTTAAGAATAAAATATAAAATACGTTGTATCTGACGAAAGTTTTTTCTTTTATTGTATTTCACAGAGCCCTATAGGCTACAAATGCATCAAATCCGCAGTCTCATTATTACACATAAATTTGTTTTCACACGATGTTGCTTTAACACGGTTAAGAAAAAAATGCAGTTCCTTTTTTGCACGATTTGTTTTGATCTAACGCGATGCGATAAATTTACCCTTTTAAAAATCTTCACTAAGGAAAAAATATTTGTATTCATTTATCGAGGAAATTACTCTAAATTGAAGGAAGAATTCTTAATTACTTTATGGTATTAGTTTTAGTTATTATAGTCTGAAAACAATCTTCCGTTTACTCATATGTACGGTATACTTTTTACATTTTTTTTTTACGATCTTTTCGGGAACGTATCATGTATAAATGTAATTGACTGCACGTCGCTGCATATGATATGTTATTTTCATCGACTGTTACATTTGGCTATAATGTTATGAATAAAAACTATTAACAGTGGTCATCATTTTCATGTTGAATTAGAAGTTGGGTTGTACTTTTTATGAGACACTATTTGTTTCGCCTTTGAAACTCCTTAAAAGCATTTAAAAATGAATTTAAAGAAATGGTGATGATTTTTACTGTCTGCAATTTATAGTAAAAATATTATTGTACGGAACGCCTTTACGTGAATTACAGTTTCTTAATCAACGATATAAAGATTATCTGCAAAATTTGAAATTATTGTAGATTTTATAAATGAAATAGGATGTTTATTTCAATTCATAACCACTCTTTTTATTTAGAAAATCATACAGTATTAATAATATAAACGTCATATAAAAAAGTTTTATAAATAACTACTGCAAAGTTGTTTCAATAATTTGAATGCCACGTAGTATTATCTTATCAAACTTATTCAATAATTTGATTAAAAGTTAAGGAAATTTCATATATTCTATTTAATATTACGGTTTTCGTAACAAAAGATCGTAACGTGTGTCTACAATAATATACATAATATTTTACATAACATTCTGTTCGCTTCATCATTGTTTTCATATGATAATAATTGATAGGGAGTTGTGTATAAATTAGACATTTCATTTTGTGTATGAAGTTGAAATCAATGACTCAAGAATTTAAGACGTTGTCGATAAGAAATAAATAGAATGTTCGATAACTGTCTCATCTACAGACAAACACATATGTATATTGGCGTCACTTTTAATCAATATTTATTGAACGGTTCATTGTTTCTTTCTTTCGCTTTAAAAAAGGATAAACATATTCTTCTTCCATAAATCATTTCTGTATTATCAATAATCTCATATGTTTGACATCTATTTTTTGTCCCATCAACGTTCTAGAAACAATGGCAAGCATATTTCAATTATTTCTTGTATCTAATACAATACAAAGACAATTTCAATTGTATCGAAAGAAGTATTTCAATTGTATCGAACACCTATAATAGTGGATTAAATAGCACGGAAAAGTCGAGATTCAAAATGTAATTATTCATAACAGAATATTATTCTTCACTTCTTAATGTTTCATTGAAAAATATGACGAAAGTAATAATGACAATTCCCATGAGCGTAGCCAGGTTACCAGTCGAAGGGGGGAGGGGGGCAAAATTTATCTGAAGGTAATTTTCGTAATATTATGTTAAATGGACTTTAGATTTATTTTTACATACAAAATATTAATTAGTACAATATAATATTTTTATTTACTTGTGACTACATAATATGAACTGTGTTAACATGATATGTTTTTTATATTTTATATTTAAATTTACAGTAATAGTCACCAAATTTTGTTATTTTGAATTGATATTTACCATACATTCTGGTTCACTTTATCCAGTCATTATACTTTTATTATTACTATTTTTACTGTAATTTATTTTCATTTAAACACAAAATATATTAAGATGTCTGGAACTCTTGCGGACTGATTTGAATGTATTATTTAATAAAAATATTTATGCACAAGGAAATCCATATTGATTTATGTTTAAATGTTCGATAGGATTCACATTTGCGTTGAGGACGGTCGGTCCGGCAATAGGATTTCTGTTGGGCTACGGTTGTCTCAGTCTGTACATAGATCCCAGTTTACATCCCGTGATCACGAAAAATGATCCACGATGGCTGGGCGCATGGTGGCTGGGTTGGATTATTCTCGGCGCCACGATGGCCATGTTTGCGATCCTGATTGCCATGTTCCCTCGAGATCTGCCAGCAACAAAAACAACTGCGACTAATAACACTGCCAAGAAGGTAAAATTACAAAACCTTATCACATGTTACATAGTCTATCGCATAAATATCGTCCGCCATTTTTTAACCTTCATTCTTTCCTTTGTGTCAATTTGACATATTTTTCTTCTAAGAAATGATGTTACTCTCACATGTGTAGGTAAATTTAGCTGAGGCTCCCAGACTTTTACTTTAAGTAATTTGCAAATTTAACTATTTACCTCTTCATTGTATTAATTTTTTACCACAATTTCAATTTGACAACAAGAGACAAATTAATCCCCTTTCCATTGGAGGACGAGATATGTCGCCACGTGATTTTGTTTATGATATGTTTTGGACACGATATCTTGCAACGCAATGTCTTTCATGCGATGCTATGTACGAAATATCTCGTGACACAAAGTCGTTCATGCGACGCTATGTACGGAATATCTCTCATGCCTTTTTATTACAACTCAAGATATCTCGTCCAACGATTTGTATCAAAATAAATTGGTAGGTCACTGTGAATGTGAATGTAGAAAAAGTTAGGAATGTCAAATGAAGAAAATGTTTTATTTCTAGAAACTAATGAGTTTATTTTTTCATAATGTGATTCTTATTAAATCATCGCATCATGATGATTAAACTTACAGAATGCTCCGCGAAAATTATTGTAATGAACTCAATGTAGGAGCGGAATACCATCGTCTAAAGTCTAAATTAACCGATTGACATTCTGTTGTAAACATTACAAAATGGGAATGCGAGCGCGAGATATCTCGTTCAAAGCAGCACGCGAACGGTGTTTCTTCGCGAGATATTCCGTACATAGCGTCGCATGAACGATTTTGTGTCGCGAGATATTTCGTACATAGTACTACATAGCATCGCATGAAAGACATTGCATTGCAAGAAATCACGTGGCGAGATATCTCGTCCTCTGATGCGAAGGGGTTAAGTTAGGAGATAAAGAAAAAACTCCCATGAATGGCGGATTCAGAGTAGGGCAATAGGGGCGGTTGCTCCACGCCCCCCTCCACGCCAGAGTAATAAAATATAAAAATATTATGTCACTTACGCCTGTAAAAGATGGTTAAAAAAAACGTACTTTTGTGGTTTAACACATTTCGGCTCGCCCCTTCTGGATCCATCACTGACAATGAGTCTCATGCACCCTAAGAAACTAACAACATAAATACTATTTAGGAACCATAGAATCCAGCTGACAAACATAGTATTTCACAGAATACAAACATTTTGACATACATAATATTTTAAACAGACAACAGAATTAAGTTACTATTTTATATTTCTTGGTATAAGATAGGGTCAAAACATTTGTGATATCCCGCTAGAATGTTGCTTATTTAAACGATTAAACTTTTGCGCTATGTTCTATAAATATCATAGACATAAGAAAAAAGTATTATATGTACAAACGTAGGTCTAAAAATACTTTGTTAAGAAATTATAATAAAAATGTGAAACAGGAACTCTTAGGGAATATCCTATATACAAAAAATTATTGGTTTTAATACAGACATGGTGGACCTACTAAAACGGATCACCTAAATATCTCTATTACTTGTTGCATGAAAAAAACTCTTTAGGACAAAGTTACACTGTTTCAATGGGCACGTATAATAGTGAGAACATTTTTTTAAAAGTCATTTTTTCGGAGATTTCATGATCAGTGATATTTTTTTAAGTAGAATCCTATATTTTTTGCTACATCCTTATAGAACATAGGAAGCAAACCCAACGCTCTTAATAACCGTACCGTTCCGTTCATTTAATCTCGAGATATTTTCCTCTGAAGGTAATTAAAATTTCCTGCAGATACCTGTGGTACATCGACTCATAGGTATGTATACTCGTATTGAAACGTACACATAGCTGCTATTGATAGCCCTTCGGATGAAATCTCTTAAAAATATGACCTTGGAAAAATTTGTTTGCTACCCTTTCATGTGTTCATTCAAATAGTTTCATTTTGTCTTAATGCGTTTTTTTATGTGACGTTATATAACAAAGATATTTAGGTGACTTCATTTAAGTGGTCTACACTGTATATTGACCTTTAGAGGTCGGGCAGGTTTTTTCATGACATTTTATATTTTCGAGTTAGAACTTTGATACATTTGTTACAGTATTCAGTTTAAAAATAGGCTTCCCGTCTTTTTTGATGGAATAGTCCTGGTATGTAGAAACAAGTAAGCGCAAGTGCACCGTAACATTGTAGCCGACCATGCAGTCGTTCATTATTATGGTCTGCTATCGGCGGAAATATCACCTGTTATTAAAAATGGGTCATTTGTGTTGAAATTAACTATTCTTTTCGTTAATTATTACGACCAGCGTAGTTGTTGTACACAGTACACGCAATGACACGACGATTAACTTGAGAACTAAACAAATTATGTATCTCTGAATGTTAAAAATTATGAAATTATTAATTACAGGAAACATTTTTTTTGTACACTACGTATTTAAAGTTCTACTTTCAATTTCTGTTTACATGAATCATTGTCTCATATACATATATCTATTTTAGTCAATTGGGGCATAAGTATTAGTGAAAAATGATTAGAATGTATACATATTGTATTTAGTAGAAGATATTTCGTACTTTTGTTCTATGAAATCTCGACATCTTTTTTATTAACTCCTTACATATTGTGCTATTTGCATTATTTACTTCAACAGCAAAACTTCTTATATGGATTAATACTTGCAAATTTTGAATTGAACTTAAAGGTGAACTTTATGAAACTTCTTTTACAATTCTGCTATAGATACCTTGGTAACAATAAAATTACTCATCAATAATATCCCGATCAGTATTGTTTTCAAAATCCTAGTGTCAAAATAAAAAGTTGACGTACAAATTCAGACTTCATTTCAGATTTTTAACAAGTGTGTCGCTGGGAAACAGAATCTTCGTTTAAAGTTTAATATTAGTTTCTTGCATAATAAATGTAGTTTTCCAGTACTCTTCAATTCAGCTATTTTATAATCGTTAAACATGGGATCAAGAAGCTTGTAAATCGTTGGCAAGAATGTGTCAATTCAGATGGATTTTATTTCGATTAAGAGTATTTCTTTCAAAGTAAGTCATAATCGTTCAAACTCTGCAATTTGAAAACGATATTTATTATGCAACAATCTATGTAATAGCACATTAAGCTCCACTTATTACCTACACATTAACCTAATCGCTGCCTAATGACTTTATTACAAAGTGTTATAGTAGCTTTTCTGGTCAGAAACGATACAAGAACAATTTCTAACGTGTACGGAATTTTCGATTCTAGTCGCAATAATAAGTATTTACTATGAAGCATTAAATATTTATTGTTTCTTATAAATATTTATTGTTAGATTTAACTCTTTCTACTTGTGTGATTCCATTTGGAATCATTAATTTAGCGTTTATAACTCATACTAATAGCGTGAAAATTCCATGTGATACAGTGAATTAACTAATTATGTGGCATAATAAACAATTCAGGGCAGAAAGAGTTAACATTGTGTGGTCTGCATATATTTTCATTTCTTTAATGATAAAAAATGTTTGATGCATGCTGTAGGACGGTAGTATACCGCTAAAATTGCACCTGGACGCGCAAGAGCAGTATATGAAACCGATGGAACCGCGGAAGTCGCTCGAGACCGAATACATTCCGACTATGCGTGAATTCCCGACGGCGATGAAAAGGTTGCTTACAAATTGGCTGTTAACATTCAACAATCTAAGCGGGGTGTTTTACGTGTTAGGTGCATCAGCATACATAACGTTTTTGGCGAAATACCTTGAGGTTCAGTACAGCACATCTGCTGCCGGTGGTACCGTGATTGCAGGTGGGTTATTTGTAACGATTACTACTATTTATTAGTAGGTAAAACCTATACAAAACCGTATAGTTAACGTTCTAAGTCTGTATCCTTTTAATTTATAAGATAAATTCCGCAATCATAACTGTAGGGTAAATGTTCTAATTACTGCCAATGTTCCAATTACTGTCACTTCATTTATTTTACTTAGTAAAAACGTAACGTATAAAGAATTGTGTGCAAATAATTTTATTATGAAACTGGAATTCTGATTTACATAAAATCGAAGAAATACATGTACTTGTATATGTATATCTTGTATTTAAAAATTAACGTTGATAAATGAAAGTGCAATTTGTTGCATTATGTAAGAATTACTTTAATTTTTGAGATGACAGTTACAGGGACACTGGGATTGCTCGCAGATTTTAATTAATTTTTAACTAATTCTTCATATTTAATGTATTAAATTATTTTTTTAAATGAAAGATATGTTAAACAATATTTATAGATTTTAAAATGATTAAATAAAGTTATGCTACAGTCCAAGAATTAATTGGGACATCTGCCCTATTTATTAAATGCTTTCATAATGAACATAGAATAACGAAAATATAATTCAAAAATCCAAACATACTATCCAATTCCACAAAAAAACGGCCGGCACCTCTTCTGTTTCCGATTTTGCCCCATAGAGTAGGCAAAACTGTATACATTAATATGATATTGCCCCTGATCTAAACTAACGACAGTAATATTGAAAATCATCAAGATCCTCGGATCCCTAGTCGGTGCAGTTGCCGCGTGCTCATATACTAATCTTGTGCATTCTATTAAATCTTTGGATGTAGTTTCGAAAAGGTCCACCCTCCGATGTTTTTAAAACTTGGTAAAATCGTCCCAAATACTCCTAAATGAACATATGTAAAAGTTTTTTCGGCGTAATTGAAAATTAACTGAGTTAACATTAAATAATTTTTCATTTGCAGAATTACTTCGACTCAAGAATATTATTAATAGCTAATAAGTTTCAGAAATATGCGTATCTATGGAACAGTAACCTTTGAAATAATTCCTAACAATGGGTGTAATTATATTTTTAGACATACCAGAGCTAAATGCTAAATGAAAATTATATTGTAGTAAATATGAATTTGTATTAATGTTGCTTTCTGTAATGTAATTATTCTCAATTAAAGTGGTACCGAAGAATGTTTAATTAATGATTACTAATATATCGGTATTTTGACAGTGATTTACATCACTTGGATCATATCCTAAGAATTATTACTCTGGATTCATTAATGGTCGTTTATTAAAAGACTTACAATTAGTTAGTTTCAAAAGTTGAGATATTTCTATGATTTATATAGACATTATTCAGTCTTTCTTTATATAAGCGAATTTTTCCATTTTTTAATCTTCCAATTTTTTGATGTGCCAAGGTCCTATATCGCTGGTCGGTATGGTATTGGGATTTCTACTCTCTGGGCTGATAATTAGCAGATTCAAACCTGGTCCTAGACCACTGCTCGCATGGAACGTGTTCGTTGGTATCTGCTTTGTCGCCGGTCAAGTACTCTTCATATTCCTTGGTTGCTCCGACGTTGGTATGAGAGGCCTCGACTTGGAGACTATGCAGTGAGTACGTTTTCCTTTTTATTGGGGCTTGGTTTCAGACACATTAAAATGACATAAAGTGACTGAACAGGGCTGATGTATCGCACATTAAACATTTTGGTAGTAATTTTATACAGTACTGGTCAAAAGTAGGTATATCACCTTTAGGTTCTTTGAGTCTTGAACGTTGTTCAGAGTGCACCAATCTCTATCAAATCATAATATACTTTGATTGTGGGTATAACTTATTAAATAAATGACACTTCATCAATTTATAATGGCAGGAATTTATAAAAAATTAATTTTATTTAAAATCTATGAAATAAGGTAAACTGAGTGGTGAACTTCGAGTTACCATAACAGGCTTAAATTTAAGCTAACAAAATGAAAACCAAATCCATATTTTAGATTTAACAGGTTCATTATTTTTGAGAAAATCAATAAATGGTTTCGAAAATCATGATCACATGATCAAACCTAAATACACACTATATATGTAGATGGTGTACATATTAGGTACTAGGTGTTTATTGTAAAACTTTGACAAAAAAAAAACAATTTGTTAACCCATAAACACTGACCGGTACGAACATTACCAACATACAAATCATTTTCTTTCTATGGTACTAGGTGGCAGTAGCTATCCAATAACTTGAAAAAGTTTGAAAATTTTGAAAATTATAAAATGATAGAGTGAAAGTGGTTTCATTTACTTTATTTTTAATTGCTGAATGCAATGATAATATCATTTTTGACCCTATAAGTAAGAACTTTTTTTTAATTTAATCGTATATGCATATGGAACTGTAAATAACATATATTTGCTACTTTTGAACGCAACAAGTAATATTTTTAACTAGTAGTTTTGCTATAAAAACAGGAAATACGATAGTTATGAAATAGAGATTGTGTGTAAGAGTGTGTGTGTGTGTGTGTGCGTGTGCGTGCGCGTGCGTGCGTGCGTGTGTGTGATAGAGAAACTGCGAATGAGGACGGCTGGGATTTTCAAGCCAATTAGTTATCCAAGCTAATCAAAACGTTTATGAAATTATTTACATCCTACATTTATATTTTACTTAAATTCATTATTATTTTTATTACTATTTCTAGAAATAAAGTCAAAAAAATGATACTACATAGATGAATAATTCAAGTAATAAATCAAACCGAATAGCGTTAACTTTCTATCTAAAAAGCTAGGCTTTGTGACATGTAGAGTATAAACTAAAATCAGAATCGTGTTCAGCAACCTTCAATTGACACAAAAAATGAGGTTTAGTTCCATTATTGTGGAGTTTACTAAACAATGACATCATTTGTAAATCGGTTGAACAAAAGTTAATTATTCACAATTACCACACACGTGAAATTCAGCCGGTAAATCATGTTCCAGAATGAATTTGACAGCTCCTTGCAATATCGGTTGCAACTGCGAAGGCGTCAAGTATTCTCCGGTCTGCCACGAGGCCTCCAAGACAACATTTTTCTCAGCGTGTCACGCTGGTTGTCGGAGCATAATCAACGACAAGGAATTCGGGAACTGTAGCTGCCTGCCTCTGATGGACTCGTTCAATTTCGAGGATCATTTCGGTTACACCACCGACAGCAAGTCGCTGTTACAGAGTCAACCGATCTACCTGAACGATCCTCAGACCCTGAATTTTGGGAAAGTTCGAGCTGGACCGTGCACGAACGATTGCAGCCGCCCTTACATTCTGTTTACGATTCTCACCTGTATTATACAGACGTTGGCGTGTTCCGGGAAAATTGGTAACGTCCTGGTGAATTATCGTAGCGTGGACAAGAAGGACAAAAGCTTCGCGCAGGGTATCACCTTGATGACGATCTCTTTGTTCGCGCTGATACCGGGCCCAATTATTTACGGAGCTATTATTGACTCCACCTGTATGATCTGGGAAGAGTCATGCGGGACCAGAGGGAACTGCTGGTTCCACCATGGACGGAACTTCCGGTATCTGGTGAACATTACGTCGGCTGGTAAGCTTTGTTACTACCGTTCACAATAACTGAGACCTTACAATTTATTGTTTTTAAAATAATTGTTAGTATTTATATTTTAAAACTGCTATTCAGAAAAGTCTAGTTTAATAGCAATGTAAATTTAAATTTGGTATTAGTCACATGTTTGACAAATTGAAGTTCACAAATTTTTGAACGTGGTATAAGTCTTTTTGCGGTTCAGGGAAACACTGTTTTAGTCAGAGAATATTTATAAAAATGGTCACATAATGAAAGTAACCCTCCGTGACCCCCGTTATTTTCACTGCTTTCGTCACCTCCTGAACCTTTTATGCCCAGACCTATTCTTTTATCTTATAGGCTTCCAAAATCTGAAAAAATTCAGCGATTCTTCCCAGGGTCTCTATTACATGAAACAACGATTCTCAAAGTTGAATGTTCAAAGGTTTTTTTTTTTAATAATAATCCTTTCGTTTTGGAGATATTTGAGCGTGAAATTTCATTTGTACCATAAAATACCCAGCGGGTCATGGAGGGTTAAACGAGTCTGGAATACTGAGAAAGATAAAACAAGTTTATAATAAATTTTTAAATTAAAATTTTTGAATAAGGTGAAATGGAAAACGTTAAATATGTATCTGGATGTGAAGACAAATGAGCTTACACCACTTTAAAAAAAATTGCTCAATCAAAGTAATCGAATTCATCATCATGACCATCATTGTCATTATCGTCATTGCCATCATCACCATCACTATCACCATAATCGTCACTATCAACATCACCATCGTGTCATCATCAGCGAATGCGACTTATTGCACTCGGGGAAATGAATATGGTTAAACATACATATGTATTGGCTTTGAATATTAACCTGTTAATCAGGAAAGACGAGTTAGTTTGTCATCTATATTCAACAGCATTTTCTGACAATTCCCAATTACCTGATTAATTTACAAAGATTTCTGCAGTTGATTGCGTTATAATACCTGTGGTAGTACATGTATATGCCATCGCATTGGGTCAGTGCAAAAGTTTTAATCGATTTTCTACAAATTATGTTATTGTCATGGTTTGATGGAAACAATGAACAATTATGTCAGCGTATTATGTGTCGATGTCAATGTAACATAGTGAATTGTTGTTTAGAACAAAAATTGACGCGATTGGCTCTATTTTATTGTTTACAATAATTAAGTATTGTTACAATACTTAAAGCAAATCTAAAAAAGAAAGGAAAAAAACGCTACGAATACTGTTACACTTAACAGAATATTTGTTAATTGTATTAATATATATAATTTAATTATACAAATTCAGTAATTAGCAATATTCTAAAAATTTGATCATCAGAGTACAAAATTCTATTGAAAGTATATATGTTATAAAACAATCATTACGTATTTTACTAAATTGTTATGAAATCATAACTGAAATTTGTATGAGTCTATTGTTTTAGAGCAAAATTCATCAAAACTTGTGCACTTACTCCGGTTAATAGACTGATACTGTAATGGAAAATGATATCAATTGTCAATAATATTAGGTGTACCAATAAGTAATCCATCATTTCTTTTAATTATGAAGCGATATATTTTAAATGATACCTACATTTCTTCTTGACATATCACTGACCAGTGACATCGCTCAAGTGTAACTAGCCGATTTTTATACGGTTTGGTATAGGGGTAGTATTTGAAAAATATTTGCACGTATTTCTTTGTGGCTGTTGATATTTATATCTGCGGGGGTCAAAACAACCCTCAAGGTCATGGGTGAGAAATACATTTTCCTTAATACCTTGCAAGCTATTCGACTTAAAAAAGATGCTTGTTAACAAAAATTTACTGATTTTTAATAATAAAAATAACTGTTCCAGTAGTTTTTCGAAATACTAAAAAATAAAAAATAATTATTTAAACAAATTGGTATTTTGAAAATTTAGCTAAGCAGTTATTTTTATTATTAAAAATCATAAAATTGGTGTTACCAAGTATCTTTTCTAAGTCGAATAGTTTGTAAAATATTAAGGAAAATGTATTTTTCACCCACGACTTTGAGGGCTGTTTGCATCCCCTAGTTGTGAATTTCAATAGCTACAAAAAATACGTATCAAATATTTTTCAAATTTCTATCTTTGTACCAAACGGCATTAAAATCAGCGCTTTACACTTTAGTGATATCCCTTGTGAGTAGAAATGGTGCAGGATATTAGAAAATTGTTTTGAATTAAGGGTTACTCCAATCGAAGTGGTCCAATGTTGAGATCTTAGATTAAAATTAGATCTTTTAAAATTAGATTTTTAAAAAATCTAATTTTTTGTGTATGATTACCTTCGCATGTCGAAATGTCAAAACAAGCGTCCGTTTATCCTAATGGTTTTTTGTCTGCACATAAGAATCGTATTTGTGTTGTGCGGGTCGTCATTTCTTGCGGTTTCGGGGGTTCGCGGAAATACAAATATTTCGGTGTCTGATAATCATAGCAACATGGGATAAGAAACATGTTTTTCAGAAAAGAACAAACTATAATTATTCTTGTATATACTTTTATCCTAAATCTAAATCCACTAGCGAAAATTTGAGTCTAGTTTGCAAGTTTGATTACTAGAAAAATGAGAAGTTCGATTGAAAATCTCGACAAGAAGGGGTAAAGTCTCGATCTTAATCTCGAAATTTTTGCTCTGTAATATACGACCATAGTACAAGTAAGTGGCCAAATTTCAGAATTTTATCTCGCTGCCTACCAGAGATAATCAACCCTAAAGTTTGCAAAAATCACGGAATTCGGAATATTTGAGATATTATAGAAAAAAATAGATTAAGTCTCAGACTTCAAACTTATCAGCCAATAAAATTTGCATATGCTGCACCAAGAAAAACCAGAATTAAGGTAAAGACTTCATCCCATCTTGCCGAGATTTTCAATTGAACTTCTCATTTTTCTAGTAATTAATCTTGCTAACTAGCCTCAATTTTTTGTTAGTAGACTTAGGATTAGGATAAAAGTGTATACAACAATAATTGTAGCTTTTTCGTTATGAAAAACATACTTCTTGTCCCATATTGCTGTGATAAGGAGACACTACGATATTTTAATTTTCGTGAACCCCCAAAACCACAAGAAATGACGTTCCGCGTAACACAAATACAGTTCTTAGGTGCAAACAAAAAATTATTAGGGTTAACTGACGCTTGTTTTGAAGTGTCAACATACGAGGGTAAACATACACAAAAAAATAGATTTTAAAAAATGATCGAGCAACGACACTTCAGTTTGAATGATCCAATATAAACGAAACAGTATAGATCCTTGGCTTTCAGAAATTCGATTATCGGAGTCCATTGAGAAATAGTTAATTACTTCCTGGTACATCTAATATGAGTAAGAAATATTGACAAGTGTGACGGATTTGTTAATATATTTGTATTTGTTACACAAATAACTTTGCAGGTTTCTCCATGATAGGAGTATTGTTCGATGCAGCGGTTTGCTATCTCGGGAAGGATTTGGATCTTTACGGGACCCTGGAGACCGACAAACGTCGCGAATTTATTAAGGAAGATCCGGCGCCGTCGATGAGCGAGAAAAAGAAAGAAATAAACGGGAATGTAAATTAGAGAGGAGAGACGCAGCCGTTTGTACTGATTATAACTCGAGACTACTCGAAGATAATGTGCAACCTAGGAGTTTTAAGTTTCACATAAAATTGAGGTTCACACGAAAATCGTTTGGGTACCTGAATTTCGGAACCTTCCATGACCGATTACGATTCATGAAACGAGTGTGAATAGAGTGCAGACACAGAAGATATTTCTTTAAAATATGTCATATATCTTTGTTAATTGTTAAACAACCGAGGAATCAATGATAATTGAAATGATACTGATCTACTGTCGATTTACATTCCAAATGTCTGGAGCATTTGTACGATTGTACAGTGTTATTTCTCTCTGTTTGTAAATAAAACACGAATTTTTAGAAAATTTATAGTCGTCTGTAATGTATTCTGATTAATTATGTGATTTCACGATATACGGGCGTATTCACTTCGCGTACTACGCCGTCAAATTTAAGATGAAGTAAATAGAATATTAAAAACAAAAATGTAGATTTGACTTGACGGCAAAAAAAGAAGAAAATGGATTTTCTAATTAATATTCTACAATGTCTCTCGTAATGACTCGAATTTAATTCCAGTTAAGTTTTGAAATACACAGAAGATATAATTATGATTTTTTACATATTTAGAAACTAGATTCTTTTAATCAATTTTGGCCGAAGATTTTGATCATATGTATGAAACGTTATAAATGATATTTTGTCATCACGAGTATTTGAATGCATTAGTATTCTGTCCATTGTTTTCATACAAAGTGTACGTATTTTTATACATCGGATAGACAAAACATTGCTTATAGCTACACATAATTCGGATACATCCTTTCTAAACGAATCATCAAGACCATACGCGTACTACAGGGATTTAGGAAAAAAAAAGGCGAAAACGCCGAAAACACTATTTTTCAGTAGTTTTCCCATATTTCATCACATTTACGTATGTGGATCACAGAAAACAGTACCACAGAAATAATAAAAAATGAAATCATCTGCATAATAACTGCAAAAATAATTGTATAAGAGGTGCTCTGATCATAAAGTGAAATGTGTACGAAACAAAAGTGTTCATGTTCTGGAGAGTGGAACAAATGAACTGACAGGAATGTGGCGTGTGAAGTATTCTAGGCTTCACTAAGGATTGTATAATCTGTGTATATCAATTCTCCATTCGAATTTGGTAATTGTCCAGTTCCAATTTATTCGATGGCTATTTAACCCTTTCGCTACGGTAGCTTCATTCAAATCTCGATTAATAACTCTACTGTTTTAACTCATTGCATTATAAAAATACAATTTGTTAAGCATAAAAATAAGATGGAATTTACGTAAAAACAATGTCTATTTAAAATGATACTGTTTCATTATTTCCAATCTTGCTATAGCAGAAGGGTTAAATGTAGCAATCAACTCTAAAATTACAAATGGTAATTAACATTTGCAATTCTCCTATTAGGAAAACAATGATCACTATCTACTAATATTATTCTTCCGAGGTGTTAAAAACGGAATGCTGCTTACAATCCTGCGTCCTGCAGCATCAACAGCGCCCACGTGCCAGAGATCCACTTCACGACCATCCGATATCGCCAGAGAATAATTAATTTAAACACAGACGACAATTACATTTAACAGCAACAGGCTTGACAATATTATCAACGATAGACATAACAGGCATACATAGTTCAACAGAATCTTAAGTTCCGTTACACAACCAACGAGAATGGTCCCCCCGCCCCCGCGGAGGGTCCAGTGCTCCAGGGGTCGGTACCATTAAATCCCCCGCAAAGAAGGCGTAATGCCGCAGAGAAGAAAGGGGTAACGCATGGCGGAGGGAAACGAGAAAAAAAAGAAGAGAAAGCATACTTAAATCGGCCGATCGGTAGTTCTGGTTGATACCTCCGGTCGAGCAAAAGAGACCGTAGAAAATAGGGTAAGGTCTTAGGGGTTGTTTTCAGGTCTCCAATCCCGAATTTCGGGGGTGGTTCGACGTAGCCGCGCAGGCCCCGACGGTAGTCAAGGGATTACAAACCCGCGAGCCCCGAATGTAAAAAGGGAGTTTTTGTTTGAGAGCCTTTTAATTTTTAAGCCCGGCTAGACCGAGAGCCTGGAGGCCCGGCTCGCGCAATGAATTCCGCGACGTCCTCGTGACGTCAGGACGTCTCTATCGATCGCGTCTTCAGACACGCTGCCGCCGGAGGATGCGCTTCGGCATTACTGGAGGATTAAGTGCCCTGCCCTATTCCTCCGTAAATAAAGAAAAATCACAGCCAACGATCGCTGTGCACCTCACACCCCTCAGAGATTTGCTCGCTTCTCGGCGGTATCCACTGAACGGGGGAGTTTCGTGTTCAGAGATTTCGTTGTCAGACACCGTGAACACCGTAACAGTCGGGACTTTCGTCAGTGACAAGGAATGTTCGCAAAGTGATGTACGACGATTTTTCTGTAACTTTGCTTAATTGTTTATGGGACCGACGATTAATTATAGACTTTAGGGTTATTCTACTTTGACTGCTGAAAAAATTATGCTATCTTTAGGGACTTTTTCTTCAGTAAATACAACATGTCATCAAATGCATTTTGTTAGTATTTATTGAACGACTTGTAAGTAATATAAAAAATAATTCTATTATATGTTGGTGTTAAGTTTTCTTCGTAGCATGAAAGTAACATCTCAAAGAGAAAGGTATCTCCATGGCGCAGGTGAATTCGCGACTCAGACTCATCTGAAACAAAAATTCCAAAAAATTTCTCATTAGAATGAGTGTCGCTAACGCAGGAACCACAATAAATAATTTACCTGAAAACATAATAAAATAGCGTTGGTCCGATAGAAAAATTAAGGAAAATCGATTTCTTTCGGTTATTTTATTATGTAAAAAGTATGATAAATTGAAGATAGAAACATGACTGTTTTTCCTCTGATAACCGCGGTGATATTAATTAGGAATCTTCTTGCACTTTTTGTTTTAGATGACTCAGAGTTGAGAAATCACCTGCGCCATGGAGATACCTTACTTTTTTTGAGATGGCACTTTCATGCTACAAAAAAACTTAAAAAAAATATAATAAAATTTTTTATATTATTTACAAGTTGTTTAATAAATACTAAGGAAATGCATTTGATTACCTATTGTATTTATTGAGGAAACGGTCCTTCAAAGTAGCTTAACTATATAACTGTTTCTGCCGTGAAAGTAGAATGACCCCTTAAGGGAGCAACCATCCGTTTTATCAGAAGTGTCCCTTTGACATATTCGCTTATAAATCGTAGAGACTATAAAAGATATGAAACAAATGTTTTGATAAATTTTTTTGTAAATATTTTTTCGAAATTTTTCATAATCATTTGCATCAGACAAAACGACGAAGTCCATACAATGTGGTAAATAGAGTGGATGCACCAGTTACTAAACATTATTGTAATATAAAAATGAGTAAATTGAGTTACTAAAATCAGCAAATGATTAAATATTGTTTTTTTTTCAATTCCTTGTTTCATATTGAAATAATTTTCGCGACATTGGTTAGAAATATTCATTCACTTACATAAGATTGTACATTCACTGGTGAAATCTGTATTTTTTTCTTTTTAATTTAATTAATTACATTTCCCCAATTTTTCAAATTGAAATCTATACGTTATAAAAAGGTAGAGATATTAAAAAATCTAATTTTCATGCGTCAAATATTTATTAATATTAGTACCATATAAAATTCGTCTTTAATAGTTATATCTTTCTCACGTCATCGCTTTCTATTTTCTATTTCTATTAATCTGCTTATACTAGTACTTCTTTAGTATAAAATAAAACGAACAATATTATAATCTATATTTTTATTTTGCCAGAAATAGCATATTATCACATTCGAGTGGTATACATATATGTATACATATATAATATTATATATGTATATGTAACTTGTATTCTGCAAAAAACAACGCAATGCTCAAATGAATATTGTGCAAAGTGAAGGAAATATACATACATACCGTAAAAAGAAAACAAGGAAACACTGGTAATAAGAAGAATTGGTGTTCAGAACTTTAAGCGACAATATCTCGAAAGTGGAAACATGCGCCGTTTTGCCTAACCATCACAGATATATCAATTTCTGGTCGTTCGTAAAGCACTATATCTCCTGTTTCCACATTTTATTTAGGAATTTTCTAAAATCCTCACGTTGATGTATCTAAATAAACTGACAATAATTTGTTATGAAACGTAAACCAACTCGTTGGCACTATTGTCGAGGTTAGTCAGACGCTTCCACGTCTGGAAAATAATTGATAAAGTAAAACACGGTTAGGCATTGTACTCGATGAAACACATAGCTGTTGTGTATGCCCGATACAATTGCCACGATCGTTCGAATTATGTGGATCAGTTTGGAAATGTTACCGATTTTCCCTTAGTTTTTACCGTGTCCCGGATCGTTTCGAAACGACGCGGACGCATTATCTAGTACTTACGTACAGGTCAGCCTCACGTTGGGAAATTTTGTGGTCGTGTGTACGGAGTGCATTGTACATGACCCTGACCCATCTTTCATATAGACCTCATCAATGTCTTCTAAGTCGAGGTACAGTCTGATCTAGACTGTCGTCGACAATGTGCATCGGAGAAGGACGGACAGCGTGTCAGCACTAGCGACCGGAAGTGACCGGTTTCAACCGTCTCCTTGCCGTTTTAGAGCACAATTCCCTTCGGCACATCAATTCGTTTGTTTAAAAATAGTCACTGCTTAGTAGCCAACTTTCATTATGTTCGAAATTAAATACTTCTTTTACCCCTTTCGTTCCCACTACAGTTACATGCCTACGTATTTGAAATTACGAAATCAAATAATAGTATCATGTATTTGTTTCATATCTATTAGTACATAAGAGTTTCTTCTGGTCTGGTATAGTTGTCATAACGAGAACATAAGAGATGATTGTCTTTTGTTTCTTTCATTTGCAGGAATTCTAGTATTGAACATTGTTGGTAATACAATAAGGACTCATAAAACTAATTTCTTTCAAATATTTCAAGAGAGGTCACTGGACAAAGATAAGACAGATGGGTTTTATTACGTATAGTAACTTTATAATATCAATGATTATACATAACTGTGATAGAAATAAAAAAATTGTAGTAAACACTATTAAAATGTTAAAATGTTCTTGTGAATCATTTATATATTATGTAATATAGGCTACAGTACGAAAAGAAATATTCTTTCGTAATTGTTAAATAATTTTGGAATGAAAGGATTAACCTCATTGTATGGAAAGTAGAGTACAGTAAATGAAACTTAGTATTTTTAAGATAAACATGTTTCTACTATTTTGCACGTAACA